TATGTCCATCCATCTGTCCCCCAAGTCCTTCTGACCACCTCCCCCACTGCCTGGGAGCTGTACCCTGGTCACGCTGGTCCTTATCTACCTGTTACCACTATCTGTACCTGGACATGCTGGTCTGTATCCTCTCTTGTCTGCCCCCATCAGTCCATATCCACTTCCCAGCCTGTACCTGTGTGCATTGGTCCATATTCCCCTGCGCACCCCCAATCCATACCTGGATGTGCTGATTTGTATTCACTCCCTGACCTGTATCCATGCCCCCCCACCTCTGTACTTGGTCATGCCAACCTGTATCCACTCTCTTCTGGTCCATATCTCACCTCCCCCAAACCATACGTTGTCACACTATATGAGCTCTGTATCCACCCCCAGGTCCATACCTGGTCTCACCAGTCCATATCTGCCGCTTCCCCAGTCCGTACCTAGTCTGCATCCACTGCATCCTGATCAATACCTCCCCCCACCATCCCTAGTTACATCTGTATCCACCCCCCACCCATGCCTGGTTACACCAGTCCTTATCCACTCCCATCCCTGCCCCCTATCTGTACCTAGTCTCACAAGTTCATATCCAACCCCCTAGTCCATACCTGGTTGCACCATAGTTTCTAGGGTCATAAGGGACCTGAACAGATTATCAAGTCCACCTTTCTGCTCTGGACAGGAACGAGTGCTGGGGTCATAACACCCCAGCCAGATATCTATCCAGTCTCCTCTTGAAGACCCCCAAGGTAGGGGAGAGCACCACCTCCCCTGGGAGTCCATTCCAGAGCCTGGCATCCCTAACCATAAAGTAACACCTCCTGATATCAAGCCTGAACCTGCTGTCAATCAATTTGTGACCGTTATTCCTTGTTATCCCAGGTGGTGCCCAGGGGAACAGAGCCTCACCAATTCCCACTGGTCCCCCCAGTGAGTTTATAGATGGCCATCAGATCCCCTGTCAGTTTTCTCTTGTGGAGGCTGAATAGATTCAGGCCCTTTAGTCTATCTTTGTAGGGCCTGGTCTGCTGCCCCCTGACCACCAGTCCTTAGCCACACCCCCTGGTCTGTATCCACTCTTGTCTGTATTTGGTCATACTGGTCCCCAGTCCTACACCCTGGTCCATATCCACCCCTGCCCCCAACCTGGTGGTACCTAGTTGCTCTGTTGTGGTGGCTGAAGTGGTGCAGAAAACCGAGGCCAAACACTGGTGCATGAGCACAAGACTGACAGTGCAGGGCACACAAGGTATGTGCAGGGCAAGAGCCCCTCAGGGCTGAGGTAAGGTGCTGCTCATGCCCGTCAAGTTCACGATCATGAAGTGCCTCACCTCCCAGTACCACTCTGCTCCACCTGGAGAGGTGCATCCTTCACTGCCGGAGTCTGCTGGGAGCTTACGTCACTTGAGGGAGGGACATGGCTCTGTTACCATATTTTCTTGTATATAATGCACACCTTCCCTTGGGCACTGAGGGAGATGGATGTTTGTTTTTCCTACCATGTTTTTTTACATATGTTGTGCACCTTTTATGACATAATTGGGGGTGGGCAGGGATTAGAGGAGCTGTCCCGCACTAGCCCCAGCTCTGCACCCCCTGCCCAACCAGAATCCAGGCATCAAAGACAATGTCTTTGATGCGATGCGGCGGCTAGTAAAGCGACCAAAACGCTGGTTTGCATCCATAGATGCTTCTCAAGCAAATCCCGGGACGTCATTCTCCCCCTGTACTCGGCCTTAGTGAGGCCGCAGCTGGAGTACTGTGTCCAGTTTTGGGCTCCACAATTCAAAAGGGATGTGGAGAAGCTTGAGAGAGTCCAGAGAAGAGCCACGCGCATGATCAGAGGTCAGGGAAGCAGACCCTATGATGACAGGCTGAGAGCCCTGGGGCTCTTTAGCCTGAAAAAGCGCAGGCTCAGGGGGGATCTGATGGCCACCTACAAGTTTATCAGGGGTGACCCCCAGCATCTGGGGAACGTTTGTTCACTAGCGCGCCCCTAGGGATGACGAGGTCGAATGGTCACAAACCACTTCAAGAACGTTTCAGGCTGGACATAAGGAAGAACTTCTTTACTGTCCGAGCCCCCAAGGTCTGGACCAGCCTGCCACCGGAGGCGGTTCAAGCGCCTTCATTGAACACCTTCAAGATGAAACTGGATGCTTATCTTGCTGGGATCCTATGACCCCACCTGACTTCCTGCCCTTGGGGCGGGGGGCTGGACTCGATGATCTTCCGCGGTCCCTTCCAGCCCTAATGTCTATGAAATCTATGAAATGTGCAGAGCAGAGGTGACAGGGTCCCATGGTGGCAAAGCAGAGGCAGTCTGGAGAGCCTAAATGGAGGGAGGGCAGGGTGATGAGGGCCCCCGCTCCCTTACCAGAGCCCCCACCTACCCCAGTACCCAGGGATGATGCCAATGTGCAGTGGTGCAGGGGCAGCTTTGAGCACCGGTGGGGTCACTGGCCTTGTGATGGGCCCATAGTAACAGCCTGTGGATCACTCTGTTGAAAGTGCCGTCCCCCCAGTATGGGCCTGTGCTCCCCGCAAACCCCAGTACAGACCCCAGACACCCCCAATAACCCCCCCATATCAACTGGTGCCACTATACTGCTCTTCCCAGTTCCTCCCAGTACAGACCAGCATCCCCAGTAATGACCAGTGTCTTCCAATATGACTTGTTGCCCCCTGCTGCCATTTCCAGCCCCCAGCCCAGTGTCCCCCAGCATGGACTGGTGCCCATTCCCCACCGATACAGACCATGCTGGCAAATGCAGTGCTGGAGGCTTCCACCCCAGAGCAGGGTGAGGCCAGACCCCGATGATGCCATCAGCTCCAGGGCCCAGTGGTGCCCATGCTCTTTCCACACAGAAAACTTAGCAGGGGGGAGGAGGGGGGCTGGAGGTACCCTAATCCCCAGTCCACGTCCCCCCCCACCCCTTGGCCCCCAAGGTTTGGTGTGATCCAATGTCATATACAACACACCAGATATACCATATTGTTTCATATTCAATACACCCATTACCGTATTGTCTCATATACCACTCACCTGATAGCATATGGTCTCACATACAACATTCTCATGCCATATTGCCCCATGTACAACAAACCCTAGAATGGAAATAGATCCAGAGCCACAAGAAAACCCCAGCATCTAGGCCTCCTGCTGCCACCCCCACTCCCCCACACACACACACGCACACCCAAAAATCGCTTGTGAAGAAGTTGGGCTCAATGCCTGTCACCACTGGCCCCTGCCAGCTGCACCACGACTATCTCTGCCACCAAGATGCATAAATCTTCATCTGAAAGTGATTTTGGGGGTGTGGTTAGTTCCCAAGTGCCTGGGTTCCCTTCTCCC